AAGTCTATGGGACCACTTGGGGCGATTCTCAGCTGGAGGGAAATCGCCCAAAAAGAGGCGGTACTCCACAGAACGTAGCATGACGCTGATTGGACTATATCCAGAGGCACAGTGACGGCTAGCGTGACTCTGTGGTTGAATGACATTGGTGGTGCGTCGCCCAATCGCCCTAATGAAGAAACCGCCCCTGCGTACAATACACCTACACATGTTCAATACAACAACGCACGGTGAGTACCGTAGATAACACGATTCGTTGAACGCTGCTTATGGATGGACATTTGTCAAAACTGAATGTAACTTCCACACTGTTATACATTTCAAGTGATCATCTGATGGTGGACCATAATCTAAAAAACTTTACATGTTTCTAATTACTATTAAACAAGGCATGCAATTAATGAATATGCATGAATTCTCTGACGTGTTCAAAGGCACCCTTTTATTAATTTACTCTGTGTTCTAGAGGGAATGTCGACAATAGTATGATCATAACTGGGAGTGGAACAGTGGCGACATGGTTAGAGCTCCGTGTGTGCCAAGAACTGGACGATCTGTATTTAATTTTTGACCGGTGCTAATGTCAGTGGCGAGTTAATGCTAAACGGTCCTAGTCACTCCCCTTCACCAACCAGCACGGTCCAGCGTGGGGAAGTATGCCCCCCCCCCTACCACTGACACTATGTGGGGAGGTCTTCATCCAGATATGGATTTACTAATTGCTTAATTATTCTATTTCCTATCATGGTATCATAATTATCGGGGCTTCATGGTCTGACTGAAAATGTTCTGGGTCACTGGTCGACTGGAGTGGACCTAAAGAGAAGACTGTAGTGGCATGTGACGAGCAGCCACAGCGGAAGCAAGAGGTTTACTGGATGTGGTGTACGGGAATATTTTCTGGATCACCAACCTAGACGGACCTGGCTGAAGTTAAGCCCCGGTCATTGTTTATCTGATTAAAACAACTGAGTGACATTAATGGTGATAATGACGATGATGGTCATTATTATTACACGCTTTTATTATTTAACTCACTCCGTCTGTTGTCGTATCCTTAAAAAAGTCTTGTAACTCAATTTTTACCCACTTCCCAATGTGCTATCGACTGCAAACTTGGTATACTTATGTCATACTGATGACAATACTATATTCTATCATTAAAAATTTAAAAAATATATATTTATAAACAATCTTTTTTACGGATCTAATTGTCCACGCTCAACTCACGTTGCTTGTAAATCACCACGGTCCCTTACGCTATGGCAAGCTGCGGGGCCACTTCCTGGAGTCGTGGAGTTGTTCCATTACGAGTACATTTCATTAAAGCGTGTTTTTTTAAAAGTATTTTTAAATATTTTATTTCTGCAGAGAATCGAAATGTGCAAGCACCTGCAGGCGTGTGGAGCAACCCAAGTGGAGGAGGACTCGTACGACATGAGCATATAATAAGCTGCTGACATCGAGCACATGTTGGAGAATCTTTTGTAGAAGATCCCATTCCCCTGCTTTGTGTTTTGGCTTTAGCACGCAAGCGCAGTACTTGCACACGCGTAGAAACACACGACCACACATTTACTCACAAACGTTGGATAGCATCGTATTTGTTCATTACCCATTGACACGGGACAAAACTGTCTCCTCCCAAAATCACTTCGTTTACTGTAGGGCATCAATCTTAATCCAGTATGAATTTTCACAGCTCATGCCGCCACGTGCCATCAGCTTGTAATGCTGTGCCGTTGCTGTATTAGAATAAGGTTTGCCACTTGTCCTGTTTTTCCCCAGGATTGGACCCTAGTTAAAGCAGAGTTCTGTAAGTCTTCCTAGGACATTAGAAGTCCCGGTGTAAGTTGGTAAATATACACCACTGAAGACAGTGCAATTAAGTGTATTTCTGCCCCTTTCAAAATAGTGAGATAGTATCCTCTTCACGATATGTCCCGAGTTTTTTGCACCACAGAGGTGGCAACCCCAGTCAATGCTGGATCAAAATCTTGTTGAGCAGCCCAAAGTGCATGTTTGTGCTTCGGAATGAGGCCAGTAGAAACGCCAAACATTTATTCGCATGAGGTTTTTTGGAAAATGTTTTAAACAGCTAGTCTGGTAAATGTATACGATTGTGTGTATTCGACTGAAATAGCAATAGAAGCCAATGTTTATATTCATAGCAGCTATTGGTCAGTCTGTAATCTCAGTCCATGATGCCTTTCAATAAATTTTCTACAGTGACATAAATGTAAAATTAAATTAGCAGAACTCTGGGAGAAATGACTACCACAGTGATCAGGGTGTTCCAGTGTGTGAAGTACCCACACGTGCATGGCTATTATCTATGAATGCTGGAATAGAACCCACACGCGTGGCATGAGAACACATGGGCATTCCAGGCGAGTCTCAAACATGCCGACATGCTGTGCCAAGCTGTGCTGCTTTCTGAAATGCGCCCACCAACTGGCTGACACTGCAGGATGCGACTGGATTTCGTCATTCATTGGCTGTCAATACCGATGTGTACGTAACACATCCTGCACCACATCGTTACTCTAATGCAGCGCATAATTTCAATCCGGAATGCTGTTCTGGGAATTATTTTGACACAACACACTCCATCTCGCCTTATTTTCTACAAATCCACCTTGACAGGGTTATAGGGATATAGGGTACAACAATATCGTATTATGATGTATAGGCGGACCTTGTACTCTCGTGGAAGTGCCTTACACCGATAATCCCTACTCCAAGCCAGCATAGCGGCGTTCCGGTAATTATGCAGTGTGTTCAAATAGCGCCTCTACGCATAAAATGTGTAATAGGTGTATTCATGTAACAAGAGCAGTCGTCACAGGCATCTAAAGTCAAATGTAACATTCACACGCGTTACACTAACACAGGCCTATATGAGTAGCACACAGAGGAACACATTAACACCGCTTTAGCTTATACGTCGCCCTTGCTTCATACAGCAAAATGTCATTCATATTTTCAATAAAGGAAATATTGTGTCAACATCGTCATGGGTAGTTGATTTAAGAATAATTGAAAGAACAGCGGAGAGAAGACAGAACGAAGAACATCAGGTTGCTGACATCTGACCTAACAAAAGTAAGTGGGCTTCAGCGTGAAATGTCACGGCTAAAGGAGATCTGGCCGATGTCATGAACAATGAGTTGCCATCCAAGGAACAGACCACGTCTGAGAGTACGTCCACCGAGGAGATGGAGTGATGAAATGAACTCGTTTGACGGTGCTAGGTGAACTATGACATTGCTGACTCGTGAGATGGCCGGGTGCTTGAGAAGATTTGAATCGGCAGCTTGACCAAGGCTGAGGACGATGATGACGATTTTGACTTAAAACTTTCGTGACTGCAGGAATTCATCATCTTCTTTAGTTCTTTCGGTAAAGTCACGTGAATTTACCGAAATAACCAACGCTGAGAATGATGAAGATGTGTCAGAATCAATGAAAGTGGCACAACTTGTTGGTTCACTGCTCTCTGACGTGGGGATGAGGGTTTGCTGGGCTGCTGAATATTGCTCTAACAGTGTGCTTCACTCATTATCAGAAGCCCACTTTCGCCGATAAGACATCATCAGTGTGAGCGCAGCCACATTTGAAACCATTGGGGTTTGACAGCACGATGGTGATGACGGGGGGGTGGGGGGGTGTTTTCACTCTTTGTGTTTTGTGGGGGGCCGTACGTCATGGGCCCTACTAAAGGCCACCAGGGGCCGCCAGTGGCCCGCGGGCCTTGCAATGAAGACCACTGCAGCTCTCACACCACACAGGGACACAGGGCCGCCGACACGGAGGCACGATCCGCTGGCGGTAACTTCTCCACCAAACCGGCCCTGCCCCAGAGCGTGAGCGCAGTTCGGGACCCCCGGTTTTGCCGTGATGAATGCTCGGGGCTTGGTGTTGCCACGTCGTCCTGATGACTTTTTTCCCTCTTCTTGAAGGGGGGGGTGGGTCCTGGGAAATCGTTAAAGTCTCCCCGGGACATTGAATGTCTCACAGGGACATTGAAAGCGGAGCCTCTGGCGCACCGGTCCACAGTGCCCCCTCGTCCCCACGAGCCCTGCCACCACAACAACAACTCTCAGACGACCGCCCGCCACTGCCGGCTTCGTTTAGGGGCCGTCCATAAATGACGTCACGCGCCTGGGGGGGGGGGGGGGGGGTCAGACATTTGGGACGATGTGTGACGACGGGGAAGGGGAGAATGTGACGTCACATCAAAATGCGCAACTTTAAATAAATATAGACAACACGTTCTACTTAATTAAAGAGACTTTTTAATAAATGTTTTTTCCTACAACATCAGAGTGCAGCGCCACATTAAATACGCACTACAATGACAATAGTTTAAAGCGATTTGAAGCATGTTTATTTGGGGGGGGGCAGAGCTTTGTGACGTCATATTTGAGGGGGGGTCTGACTTTTTGTGACGCCGTGTGACTAGGGGGGGGGGGGGGTCAAAAATCGTCCAAAATCGCGTGACGTCATTTATGGACGGCTCCTTTATAGCTTACCGGATTCATCCAGTTTAAAAATGTTGATGTTGCAAATGGCTCGGGTGTTTGATGTTAGCCGTGTCCGGAACATTGACTCCGTTTGGTGGAGTTCACATCGCAGTGCGCGCTAATCATTGCGCCACCGCTCTACGGCTCTGCTGTGTTGAGTGACAACTCACAAGGGGGGAGGGGTGCAGACAGAAGCCCGCGGAGTCTCAGACAGAAGCCCGCGGAGTCTCAGACAGAAGCCGTGAAGTCTCAGACAGAAGCCGTGAAGTCTCAGACAGAAGCTCGTGAAGTCTCAGACAGAAGCCGCGGAGTCTCAGACAGAAGCCGGTGGAGTCTCAGACAGAAGCCCGCGGAGTTTCAGACAGAAGCCGTGAAGTCTCAGACAGAAGCTTCCGCACTCGCGCGTCGGCCGCTCACGCAGCGGCTGTGGTGCACGCGCACGCACGCGCGTCGCGCGTCACGTGACACGTTTAGCGCGCGCGGATTGGCTGCGAGCCGCGCGGCCCTAGAGACGGAGGCAGCAGCAGCGATGGCGGACGGTGAGGGCCGCCTGGCAGCTCCGGCTGCTGCGAGCGCGGGGCTCGTCGCACTCACTCACAACTCACTCGCCTGCTGGCGCCACCGACATAACACCACCCTCGCCACGCTCACAGAGCGCACGAAGCCACCCCTCAAAGGAGTAACACGCCCCTCGCACGATTCACACAAAGCGCGCGGTTAACACTGCTCATGCCAATAACATACTACAGTACTAATACTGTACTCACTACACTACACACCAATAACACTCCTACTAATACTGTACTCACTAGACTACACACCAATAACACACTTCTATGCACTAATAGCACCCTCCTACCACATTACCTCTCATCGCAGTAATAAAACCGAATTCACTCTTAACACTCCTCGCCCTTCTCACACACTCCAGCACTTACTCTTAGCAGATCGCTCTCCGCTAAAACACTGCAAATAGTACACACTCCTAATGCACTCCTCACACTCAACTCGTACTGAAAGGACGTGTCTCGCACTCTTAGAACACGACACTTTTAACACGACATACTTGCTTAACACTGCTCGCTCTCTCCCCACAATGTCGTCATATTCGGAGCGTATACTCTCCTCAAATGTCAACATTCACTCTTCTCGCACTCAACACTCTTGTACATTAAACAATGGAGCGTTTCTCGAGCATGCATAGCCACTCACCGGTTGTATAACACACTCGGTGATATTCACCCCCTTTGTGTGTTTAAGGTTACAAACTAAGCCTCGCACCCCGTGTGATTCGATGAATTGCCAGGACTCGGGGAGTCACGTTCCGATTCACGCATCAGTTCTTATCGCGGCGTTCCTTCCGTCTCTCTGACGCGGTGTTGTGTGTTGCGGTTGTTGTGTTGCAGAACAGGCGGTGGTGTCGGCTGAGCAAGCGGCCGAGTCGCAGCCCCAGGTAAGATGCTGGCACAGCCAACGCCAGGAGGCCGCTCATTCTGAAAAGAAGACCCAGAGCATGTTTTCATGAATGCAACAATCCGTTTGTTTTTCTAAATATATATTCACACGGTAGACTTAAACCATCGGTTCAGCAGGCAACGTACCACTTGATGGACTTAAACGGGTTGACATGATTCCTGACGAATGAGTTTTAAGATAAATGTTGTCTTGGATATAATACTCACCACAGTATGATATTCTACACGAGACAGACTTCAATGAAAAAAAAAATACTTTGAATTTGCTGAGTGGGGTCATGTACTAGGCCAGTATGGGATAAGATGACTGTATAATGAAACGAGGCTGCTTGAATTACAGTTTCAATAGACTTATCTGCAGTAAATTTTAAATGCTGATAGACTACAATAGAGAACAGCACTTGGCATCTGCTCCAAATACTATCACATGCAGAGTTGCATAGATATGGTGCAGATCCCAACCTAGTTGCAAGAGTAGGAGAGAGAGTTCGAGAGGTAAATGAGTGCGAGGTGTAGGTGCACACTTTGATACATACAAGTTGAATATTCCCAGTGTGGACCAGAACATGTGTTTGAATGACTGACCGCAGAGTGATAGGCGATTCATCCAGCAGTGGATTGACGGTGCTGTTGTACATTATTACCATTTACTGTGGTCAAGTTCGCAGCTCTTTTCATGGAAATACTTACGGAAAGTTGGGGTGAGGAGGGAGGGAAGAAATTGGGTGGAGAGTTATGTTTACAGTTCTCTTTCCAATCTGACCCAATGACCAGCACATACCAGATGTTGGTCTGCAAACGAGCTTGTGATTTTACATTATATGCTTGTAAATGTCTGACTTGATGCGCACGCCTGAATCACACATTGTAATGTATTTGCATATCACCAGAGTGGCTGATGTTCATGCAAATTAACATTATTTATATGGGTGCCTGGGAATCAACGACCAGATGGTGAGATACCTACCATACATAAATGCCACAAGCTCGGCACCAGTCCTCATACGGTGTGAAGTGATGACAAGCTATGCAGATGTATGCAGTCGTAGCGTTGACCCTAACCATCTCTTACCGTTTACATAACCACAACTCCTATTCTTTGTTTAATGTGATGGATTTATGAAGATGGAAGATAAGGAATCGAAATACAATTCATGATGATTTCAATTTTAACTAAGTTTTTATTCTGAAAATTAAAACCTGTTGCGCTTTTGCAAACTGCATTCTCAAAACGGAAGTTTCCTTTGCAGGGACCTGAAAATCCACATGCAGAGTTCGGACTTGCAGACAGTATCCAGGTATTGCATCTGCACACTTCCATCTTCCATTCGGCTTCTGTTCTTGCAGATATTTCAACTTAACATGCAAACCAAAAACCCCACTGCTATTGTACTTCATTACAGAAAATCATGGAGAGCGAGAGGGTTGGCGGGGACCGTTCCAAGCAGAAGGTGGACCTGCAGGCACTGCCTACGCGGGCATATCTTGACCAAACAGTGGTGCCGATCCTCCTCCAGGGGCTGTCTGTGCTTGCCAAGGACAGGTGCTTATGCTCTTTTACCTGATAGAAACATTACCACGTTATTCAGTGATATGTTTGTATATTAACCGTTTAAAAACAAATCTCTTAATCACTGTTAGAGACTTAATATGAAAAGACCATACATTGTCACAACACTTGAGCTACAAGTGATTTAGCAAGAATCATCCTCATGAGACCCCCATCTGCTGGGCATTATGGTGCTTCTAGGGGAAGGTACAGCATAGCGAAGTCGAACTGACATGGGACGACGATTGCAACGAAAGACATGAGAGCGAAGATCACAAAGGCAAAAGAAGTCATCGGAAGTATTCAATAACATGGAGAAGCAAGCAAATCGGCGACAAGACCACATGGAACATTTTTTCGTGCATGTTCAGTACAGCTTTTTTATGCCTGCGAGACTTGGACATTTCCATTCGAAATGTATTGTTATAGATACTGCGTGTAAACTGGACCAAAAGAGCGACCAATGTAGAAGTAAGAAAAAGGTTGCACATAGAAGAAGACCTGATGATGCAGGCAGTGATGAGAAGGAAACTGACACAGTTTGGACACGTGTAGAATGAACAACAACAAGCACATTTAAAGTGTGTTGTTTGGAAAAATGAAAGGAATCGAAAAGAGAGGAAAATCTAACGGAGAATGACATGGCACTACTTAAATAAATTGGCAATAGATAGGAAAGTGGAAACAATGACCAATGTGAAGTCGACACCTACAGGCTATCTGCCCATGGATCGTGATGATGATGGCAGCATACAGTTTTCCATCCACTTGTGCATATCGAGTCCCCATTTTTCGTGTAGATATTCTTCATACAATATTTGAAAATAAATTGGTCCAATGCTGCACTCAGGACCTTTTTAGTATGTGTTTTCTCTATAAAGTATCAATTTAAAGTATATCAATGGTCTGTTGAGGCTAACTAACGAAACCATTTTTTCTTTGTCTTATGTTTCATTGCAGACCACCAAATCCTATTGAGTACCTTGCAGCATATTTAATGAAAAACAAGGCCCAGTACGAAGACAAGAACTAAACCTCGGATGTGCTTGAGAGATAGAAATATTCATTTGCAAATGCGTGCTCTGGATAAGGTTATATAAACTTGTTTGTTTTTTGGAGAACCATGATTTTTCTATTTTGATTTTTTTTACCATCAGTTGTATTGAATTATAACCATTGGCTGTTAAGACGCAGTTGACTTGAATTTTGAGTAAAGTGAATCACAATGATTTGACATTGTATTGTTTAAGCTGTCAATAAAAATTAACACGCTTATATTTCAGAGTTACAGGCTTACGATTTTACTGTCTCAGGGTAATTTATTGGCAAGTTATGAAAAAAATATCGAAGTGGTTTCCTACTTTGGCATGTGTGTTCTCTCTTGCTGACAGCCCTGTCCCAGTGTTGGAAATGTCACATTCCTCTTAACCAGCTTGTTTCAGGAGTTAAACAGAACATACATTGCACGACTAGGTATGAACAGTTATACTGGTAGGAATCTCCTGGTTACACCAGCCCACAGGGGATTATTGTGTCCGTTCGTCGTGCATCCAAAAATGGGAAGGGTGGGGCTGGGTAGGGAGGGGCTGGGTGAGGAGGGGAGGGTGGGGAGGGGCTGGGTAGGGAGGGTGGGGCTGGGCGAGGAGGGGAGGGGTGGGGAGGGGCTGGGTAGGGGTGGGGCTGGGTGGGGAGGGGCTGGTCACCCCATGGCCCCCTTGTAAAACTCAACGTTTAACCTACTCACGCCGGCTTGTGCCCGCCCTCACAGTCGGCCATATTTGCGAAATACAGCACGCCGCCGTTGACCCTGGCTATTGACCGAGCAACCCAACGTTCCTACCAGCTCCCTCCGCAGGAATGTGTTTCACGGTAACTACCCCCAATATATATTTTAATACGCAGTGTCTTGCGCATAGTGTTCCACTCAATATGTACAGGTTAATGTTGCTTAACATTGTAAAGAATGGACATTTTAAGTGATAGAAGACAATTCCAAGCATCATACTTAAGATTAAAATTATGTTATCTTAAAATTTATATGGGTTAAGGTTGCCTGCATACCAGGAACCTTCCAGCATTACCATATCCATAGTTTATCCTTTTGTCCAAGGCTTTACTACTATAGACCTAGACCATATGCAACGTTTCAGTTTTATAGGCCAATTGGAATGCTCATTTAAACATGGAGGAGAGTAAATCATGAATTCACGAATGTGTTTTGGGTTAAATTTCACACTGGAATATGGTAAAAACGAATAAAGCTACACGCCTGAAATATTTTGCAGTTACCTATGTGTACTTCTAAAAATGTCTTACTGAGAAGGCTTATAGTATGTTCAGAAAATTTGTCTGAACATGTTATACCTTCACAAATGAAAAAGGCTGATGACATTTTTTCCTGTCCCTTTTATTAAGTTCACTTTAAATCCGTATCAATTAAGAAGACTAATTGCAAGAGTTTGGGAGAAAAAAACTGGGCAAAGTAGTGGCAATTTCTTGACTTAAAGCTTTCGTGACAGATGGGATCAGATCACGAATTTTATGGATTGTTAAATCGAACCTGGATCTTGTGTTTTCTCATGATTTTCGAAATCTTTTTGGTGACCCCTGCTATGTATGACAAGGTTATGGTTTTGATTTGGTCCTCAGATGGTTCTTTCCCAACTGTTGGGGTGATAGGTTTACGGATAGTGTAGTCAGAATATCCATTCGTCTTGAGAGCTTGGTGCACGTGTTTCAGTTCACTGGCTAGGTGATGATGGTCGGAGATACATCGAGTTATATGGCGTCGAGTTTTGATTAGGGAATTCTTCTGGGATGGATGGTGGTGGGAATCAGGTTTTAGGTAGGCATCGGTATGGGTTGCTTTCCTGTAGACAGAGTAGCCCATTGAGCCATCTGGTCTCTTTTCGATTAGAACATAGTAGCTTGCCATCCTTTTCCACCTCCATGGTGAATGTGATGGCTGGGTGTATGGAATTGATGTGGTTGAATTGGTTCAGAGCTGGTCGGCCATGTGGCCAGATAACGAACGTGTCATCTACGTACCTCTTCCACAAGGATGGGCATAGAGTGGATGCCTTGATGGAATTTGTCTCAATATTTCCCACGAAACATTGGCTACAACCAGAGATAACTGGCTGTGATGTTTCCATCTTGTCACCTTCCGATGTTAGTTTTATTTGACTAAATATGGGACAAACAATTCCAGTTTTCACTGTGTCGCCCCAGCATTGGGCACACCAAAAGTTGTTAATTTCTCCAGGGCTCATGCGCCTACATTTCTCTTTATTCTCCGATTTCACATTAACATAACCATCTCCGCTTGAAGTTGGGCATACTACAAGTACAAAAAGTTGTTAATTTCCCACATTAACATAACCCACTTTGTTGGGCGCACTGCAAGGGCGGTGTGCTGACCCCAGGGCACCTGTACCCCGCCCACTTCGTTCTGACACTTGGGCTATGCCCATATTAAACCTTTAAAAACAGGTTGCCTTTGGGAGTTTTCCCCCCTTTTTCTGCCTGAAAACGGTCGCTTGTGTTGCGATCGAAACGTCGTGGTGTTTTGTTTATTTAAAAAAAAAATTTTTGAACCTATCTACGTGACCAAATGTTCTGTCCGATGCTCATGGATAAAACTGACAGTGAACATGACCCATGTGGAGATGAATGTGATGACATTCAAGCCAAACAACTTCCATACCAAGGTCGTGGTAAGTGCTCATTATAGAATGTAAAAGTTGCCAGTAGCAACATCATGATTAAAGTAATGTATATATCAGGGGTACAGTTTTCCACAACAATTTTTTAATTATGATTTTGCTATTCGTGACTTTTGCATTCTATAATGAGCATTATCACGACAAACGTTTCCAGCAATAGATGTAGAACTACATTCCTGTTATTTACACATTAATCTGACACTACCGAAAGAGATGTGCCCTTCTTGGTTCTTTCGGTAAAGTCACGTAGAAGGGAAGTAATACAATAATAAAAATAAAATAATTCTCACGACGTTTCGGCCACAACGCAAGCAGCCGTCCTCAGGTGAAAACCAGGTCTGTCGAGGCGACAACGTCTGAATGAAACAGCACACGAGCTTGGAGCATATATATAAGCTGGGTTGGAAGGGGGGAAAAGAGCGCCTTGACAAAAGAATATGCATATCTTGATATGCACCTTGACAAAAGAATATGCAAAAGAATATGCATATTCTTTTGTCAAGGCGCTCTTTCCCCCCCTTCCAACCTAGCTTATATATATGCTCCAAGCTCGTGTGCTGTTTCATTCAGACGTTGTCGCCTCGACAGACCTGGTTTTCACCTGAGGACGGCTGCTTGCGTTGTGGCCGAAACGTCGTGAGAATTATTTTATTGTTTTATTTTTATTATTTTATTACTTCCCTTCTACGTGACTTTACCGAAAGAACCAAGAAGATGAATCCCTGCAGTCACGAAAGCTTTAAATCGAGGTGTGCCCTTGTATTAAAATCATCATTAAGTAGCGTCTTCCAGATCTGGTCACTCCGGGTTGAGACTTGCTGGGAGAATGTGACTGGTCCCTTTCGCACTGAACAATTGCATCCGGCCTATTTCTAAAGTAATGCAGGTAACTGCATTGGACAAAAGGAGAAACAACATTCAAGTGGTGATGCTGCTGGAGGTAGTCGGTGCACTAATACGGATTGGACAGCGCCGATGTGGTCGAGTTCTTCGAGTGGGAATGACAATGCCACGCAACACAACGGGGCATTCACGTTCCTGGGCTCCGAGAGAGATTCATGTTCAGGGGCCACGCAACACAACGAGGCATTAACGTTCCTGGGCTCCGAGAGATATTCATGTTCAGGGGCCACGCAACACAACGGGGCATTCACGTTCCTGGGCCCCGAGAGATGTTCATGTTCAAGGGCCACGCAACACAACGGGGCATTCACGTTCCTGGGCCCCGAGAGAGATTCATGTTCAGGGGCCACGCAACACAACGGGGCATTCACGTTCCTGGGCCCCGAGAGAGATTCATGTTCAGGGGCCACGCAACACAACGGGGCATTCACGTTCCTGGGCCCCGAGAGATATTTATGTTCAGGGGCCACGCAACACAACGGGGCATTCACGTTCCTGGGCTCCGAGATTCATGTTCAGGGGCCACGCAACACAACGGGGCATTCACGTTCCTGGGCCCCGAGAGAGATTCATGTTCAAGGGCCACGCAACACAACGAGGCATTCACGTTCCTGGGCTCCGAGAGATATTCATGTTCAGGGGCCACGCAACACAACGGGGCATTCACGTTCCTGGGCCCCGAGAGATATTCATGTTCAGGGGCCACGCAACACAACGGGGCATTCACGTTCCTGGGCCCCGAGAGATATTCATGTTCAGGGGCCACGCAACACAACGGGGCATTCACGTTCCTGGGCCCCGAGAGAGATTCATGTTCAGGGGCCACGCAACACAACGGGGCATTCACGTTCCTGGGCCCCGAGAGATATTCATGTTCAGGGGCCACGCAACACAACGGGGCATTCACGTTCCTGGGCTCCGAGAGATATTCATGTTCAGGGGCCACGCAACACAACGAGGCATTCACGTTCCTGGGCCCCGAGAGAGATTCATGTTCAGGGGCCACGCAACACAACGGGGCATTCACGTTCCTGGGCTCCGAGAGAGATTCATGTTCAGGGGCCACGCAACACAACGAGGCATTCACGTTCCTGGGCCCCGAGAGATGTTCATGTTCAGGGGCCACGCAACACAACGAGGCATTCACGTTCCTGGGCTCCGAGAGAGATTCATGTTCAGGGGCCACGCAACACAACGAGGCATTCACGTTCCTGGGCCCCGAGAGATGTTCATGTTCAGGGGCCACGCAACACAACGGGGCATTCACGTTCCTGGGCCCCGAGAGATGTTCATGTTCAGGGGCCACGCAACACAACGGGGCATTCACGTTCCTGGGCCCCGAGAGATGTTCATGTTCAGGGGCCACGCAACACAACGGGGCATTCACGTTCCTGGGCTCCGAGAGAGATTCATGTTCAGGGGCCACGCAACACAACGAGGCATTCACGTTCCTGGGCCCCGAGAGATGTTCATGTTCAAGGGCCACGCAACACAACGAGGCATTCACGTTCCTGGGCCCCGGAAACGCGCGATTCACGTTGCAGGGCTCAGAAAAGAAATTCCGGTTCCAGGGCCCGGACAGGGAAGGATTCACGTGCCCGGGCACGCAGACAACAGCGAATTCAGATTGCAGGGCCCCGGCTCCCGTG